TCTGGCAAAATGTGGCATAAATGCCAGACTTTGCCAGACTTGGCCCAGATCTGGCAAGTGTCTGGCAAAATCTGGCCCAGATATTGCCAGACGTTGCCAGATCTGGGCCAGACATGGGCCAGATTACTGAGGCTGTCTGGGTTGACATCGTCGACTTACAGCTAAGAAAAAAACGACGTAAGCGACCTTTTAGATTCTTTGTGAAACGGGACTTAGTGACGTAACGACTTAATTACGTTGGTAACCAAGCCCTAAGTCAGGGAAACCGACTTAAGTTTTTTTGTGAAACGGGGGCCAGATGTTTCAGAGGATTTGTTAAGTCTTGCCACGTGTTCGGCCCGTCTGTGTTGGTTTGTCATGATGGTCCTGCAAATATCTCTGACCTTTGACCTTTGACCTTTGACTGTTCTCAAATCCAGGTGTAATTCTTCTGGTCTAGCCACGTGATGCTGAGCATGATTCTCTCCATCTTTCTCTGGGCGACTGAGAGCATATTTGCATGTGCGTCAGTCACTGCCCATATAGTTTTGTAACTAATTGTCAATTTTAATTTTTTAAAATACAGTTTATTGTATCATGCAATAATAGCTATCTTTGACCAGGTGTGCCCATATAGTTTTGTAATCAATTGCCAATCTTAATTTTTCAAAACTAAGTTTATTGCATCAATATTCTTACACATTCTAACACCAGGCGTGCGTCATCTAATGGCTTTATAATTTGTTTTTCATTGCCAAATGGCGACAATTTCAAAAACCACTAATCATTTGCTTATGTTATGTAATAAAAGAGACCTGTCTCTAACCATTGTGCCACGTCAGCTAAGGGTGCATTCCCAGAGATTTAGATCGATCCAGAGATTAAGATTTAGATCGACCTAACTCCCTGGGGGTTCACGCTAAATTGCAGTCAGCCGAGCGGGTTCCATAGTTAATTACCCCCTTACAGCTTTTAGTAGGCGGGACAGACGCTTAAGCCGGCCAAGCTGACAGTTATCTAGTGAGACTCCCCACAGGGATAGATCGATCTAAAAATCTATGGAAATGGGGTGTAAGAAACGCCTTTATAAAGCGCTTCCGCTTTACCTACAGTCCCCATACCTGTTCTGAATACCATCTTGGCGTTCAAGACAATAATACGAAGATGTCCAGGTTCATGTATGCTCTGCTTGCTCTCTGTTTAGCATTGGCGATCTTCACTGGCAGCACTCACGGCGGATATGTCTGTAAGTATAAAATTATCTAAAGCTGATGGTTCGTTCAGTTTTTATGTCGGTAAGCGGTCAAAATAGTTGATAGGAAGCCAGTTTTATTTGTGTGTTTGTGTGTGTGTGTGTGTGTGCGTGTTCGTGCGCGTGTGCGTGCGTGCATGTGGCTGAGTGTGAGAGGGGATCTACCTTTATATACCTGGCCCCGGTTTCACAAAAAAAAAGTCAGTTCCTTGGCTTAGTTGACTAGGATTTCCATGAGAGTGCTGTTACACTGTTCCTGATAGGATAAGATTTGCCAATGTGACCATGTAGGCCTAACCTTGGTAATTTAATTCTTTTTTTTGTAAAAACGGGGCCTGACTTCTAAAGTGAAATACCAGCAGAGAAGTCTGTTTTTTTTTTTCGTGCTGTTTGTTGCCAACCCTTCTCTCGATATACGTAAAAGAAACAGCAACATTTTAAAAACCAATTGGTTAGAATAAAGGTCTGTAAATTGTCACAAAAAAAAAAAAAAAAAAAAAAAAAAAAAAAAAATTCTAAAGACTGAGGCAACCACTGCTGGCTTTTGGAATTCAGTTTTGAACTGATAAACTCAAAGTTGGATAATGTGAAAATTGGACAGTAATGTAATGTACATAATTCAATCAGGGAGGGAAGAAATGGTAAACTCAAAGTTGGATAATGTACGCGTGGAACTTTGGTCTCATTTAATTAAAGGTACATATGAACCGAGCATCGGTGGAGCGTGGATTCGAAGTAACACTTCTACTAGTTTCTTATATGACTTAAATAAATTCAGCATGCCAAGGGATAACCTGAATAAATCACTCGGCCAGCCATTTAAGTGCTTTAGAATGCTCCTTAATTTCTTAAAATTTTTGGTCAGAAATTTAACCTACTTCTGTGGCCTTTCTGCCCACTTGATATACAGCATAAAATGCCAGCAGAAAAATCCGTTCAACTATCATTTTCCGGGGAAAATTAAACAATGCCTTTTGGTAATTCTCTTAGTTATACCACTTGAAACTATATGCTGGCATTTGGTTGGCTTTTGTGGAAAAAAATTTGACTTCATATGCATCTTTAAGCCGTAGTACCGCAATCTCAGAACTTTTAACGGATTTATGCAGCGTCACCACTTCATTCATTTTAGGTGAAATGGGAAAAATCCTGCTTTCTATGAACACCTTGGGGGACAAAAAGGTGACGTTTGCAACACCATTTGCCACGAAACCGGATGTTTCCGTAGCTTTGGCCGCGATGGAGGCATCGTAAGCATCCATTTTATTTTCACTTGAGTTGATTTTTTAAGTTCAGCTGTCGTTTTGTTGGTCATCATGTATGTGTATTTATAGTAAGGCTCTATATGATTGTTAAGAAGGTATTTTTAAGATGGTTGAATCAAGGCAAAACCTATTTAGAGATAACTGAATAAATGTAGCCGATGAAACCGTTTGAATGGAATGCTGATTCCTGTTGCAGGAACACCAAGAACACGCGTATTAGAGCCTTTGCGAAAGATATCGCCACTGATGGGTTCATTGCAGAAACACTGACATGGGACGATACCATCTTGTATACCGTTGCGGTTAGTTGGATCGCATGCGGAGAGCGGGACAGATGTGCTGGCATGAATCACAACCAACAATAACCTCAACCCCAAACCAAGAATAACCCCCAACAATAACCTCAACCCCAAACCAAGAATAACCCCCAATAGCAATAACCTCAACCCCACACCAAGAATAACCCCCAACAATAACCTCAACCCCACACCAAGAATAATCCCCAACAATAACCTCAACCCCAAACCAAGAATAACCCCCAACCCGAATACTAACCCCCAACAATAACCTCAACCCCAAACCAAGAATAACCCCCAACCCGAATAATAACCCCCAACAATAACATCAACCCCATACCAAGAATAACCCCCAACCCGAATACTAACCCCCAACAATAACCCCAACCCCATACCAAGAATAACCCTCAACAATAACCTTAACCCCAAACCAAGAATAACCCCCAACCCGAATAATAACCCCCAACAATTACCTCAACCCCAAACCAAGAATAACCCCCAACAATAACCTCAACCCCATACCATAGGGGGGGAGGGGTTCGAGGGGGATAATATTTTTGCACAACTTAACCTAAATAATATTATACATTGTCATTTTTAAACTAATTCAAACATATCTTTAATAATCATAATCACTAATGACTATAGTTCTGTAATGAATAAATCTTGAATAATGAATGAAAAAACGTTTTTTAGATGACGGAGAGTTATAACAAAATTATAAATAACCATGCAGTAACTGTTTCAATTCAACTTGCATGCTGGCTACAGTACATACAGTAAACTCTGAAAAAAAAAGAATTATGTATACCCCAGCACAGCTATAGATGTACAATTAAAAGAGAATTACATGTGCACAAAAACAAACCCCAGTATATTGTTGATGCTTTTGAATTAAATCACATCATGAATCAAATCACTCAATGAATAGAACCAGTTTGCAACGCTTGCGCTTTTTTCATATCCATAACACTAAGAAATGATACATCCGGCTCCTTGACAAGCTAATAATAAATTAATTAAAGGAATTATCAATGGAACAAGTAACTCTACCAAGTTAACAACAGTTCATTCAAATGTCAAGTCAAAACACAACATAAATGCCAGACTTTGCCAGACTTGGCCCAGATCTGGCAAGTGTCTGGCAAAATGTGGCATAAATGCCAGACTTGGCCCAGATCTGGCAAATGTCTGGCAAAATCTGGCCCAGATATTGCCAGATCCACCCACATGTGGGCCAGATGTGGGCCAGATGACCGAGGCTAGCAGGGAATGCTTTAATATTTTGAGAGCATGGATAAAGGCATATTGTTAGTTTGATACGTGTTTCTGTGGTAAATTTGTGTTTTCAGCTATGTACTGACAGCATTCCTTTACTTAAGCAGTATTTTTTTTTTGGACTGTTTTTTTTTCACCCTCTCGCACCGATTTCGGGGTGCACATCCATAAAAATAAAAAAAAGTGTGGCCTAAAGGAGACTGCATAGCCTAATACAGTGGATGAGTTCATGTTATATTTTTCCTAACAAACACTATATCTTGCCCTCCTAGAATTGTCCCGTCTTTATACAACCCTGTCTCTTCAAATATCTTCCTGATCGCCTTTTCCCGTCTTGGCGTATCAGGACTTCCCCCGTGCACCGCGTACTCTATCGTCCAAACGTCTACGGTGACCTGTTTCCATGGAAACGATCTGAGGATTTCTATTTCCGCTCCCTCCACGTCGAGAGAAAAATAGTCCACGTGATTCCGGCCGACGGCTGCAAGAAGGGAGAGAATGGGGAAGCAATGGACGCAGCTCATCCCCTGGAAGTCATGCTGCTCTGCTGCCAACAGCTTGTAACTTTTCCCTGAGATTCCTCCAAGTTCGTTTGCGAAGGTGAAGGGGACCACTGCCGGAAAGCGGCTAGTCGCTAGGCACGAGTTTACAGCATACGCCTTCCTAAAACAAAGCAAACTGATGCCATAACGATAATATCATCACACAAGTAAAACTGACAAATACGAAGGAAGTACAGAAAAGGGACTGATGAATGAATAAAGAAGTGGACGAAAGCATAAACGAATGATTCGAACAAGGGGCCGTAAAAGGAAAGGAGAATTAGGGTGTTAGATAGATAGCCTACTAGTAGATAGATAGATAGATAGATAGATAGATAGATAAGGGGGACGGGCTGACAGATATAGAGACTGACTAACTGAAGGATACTCCTTCCTAACGTCTGAGTTTTCTTTCGACTGCTTTGCCTAAGCTACGAAATTTCGATAGCCCTTCATTGTTTAGGACGTACAATGAGTAGGCCTACCAGACAATTATACAGCAACAACAACAACAACAACAATAATAATAATAATAATAATTTTAAAGGATATTTTAACTCCTTCCTTATTATAACCAAGGTTTACAAACTCTTTAAAAATCACTATAAATAGACTGCCCAGCAGACAAACGACATTGAGTCACCGTTGAATCAACGTTAATTTTGGTGGATCAACGTTGAATCAACGTAGAATCAACGTCGTTTGCCTGCAGGGTGGGTTCTAAGTTCTAAGTTTGTATAGTCTTGGCATCACAACCGTAATAAAGGAGAATTTTGCTGGTATGCGTACTTTGACAGACGAAATAACTTAATTGTTTAAAGATCACGAATAGGGTATATTTGATAATAAATGTAACATTCTGAAATTTAGGGTTTTTATTTTCTTTTGCTTAATTTAAGGTCTATCACGTGAGCACGAGTGTTCTAGGTACGTACTTGCTCTCGGTTTGGCTTAAAACCAGTATTTAGACTTTTTAAGAATATATAAGAATCTGCTGAAAAAAATCACCTGTTTTTCTTCAACAGATCTTTAAAGGACCACGGGTTTGGTTCTACGAGCAGGCCCTCCCAGCCTCTTGAAATCTCGAAAAAGAGAGAATTAGAATTCCCCTCTCCGTCAGCAGCCCCTGACTCGACAAAGAATCCATTACGGCGCTGTTTGAGTATCCCGTCCACGAGTTTCGCTTGTCCGATTTGTGACCACGATTGCCTATTTGGCCTGGAAAGATTATAAGGTTTTTTTGAGGGCTCGAAAACCCAATCCTCCTTCAACTGTTTTAAAAGGCTGTCCTGCGCTGTACCGGTGTCCTCGAGCCGCTGATTCTTAAGAAATGCAGATGACCTACTTCCAAAATGGGTGCATTTTAAAAACGGTGGAATGCTTGCGAGTTTGGATACTGGTTTCGTTTGAAACTCAATTAGGAGAAAGGCGGCGCAAATGACGATGACAGTAATTGTAAAGTAGACGATAGCTGACCCTGTCCTCGGGGCCATGTTGCCTACACAGCTGCTGAGAGAATCATATGTGGTCTTCGTCTATAATCCTGTTGCCTGAAAGGAACAAAAAGAAAGGAATTAAAACCTTTTGACATAAGTGATTTTTGCGCTGCCATACACACATTTAGAGCACTTTCAGAACACCGGACTTACAGATCTGCAGATCAAATATGGCGACCCACTAAAAAGCTTGCAGTTTAATTCCCCATAAGTCACTGAATAAATTCCCCGCGGGGATTACTCAACAAACATTCCAGTGAGGCGGCCATATGTGATCCGAGGATCTGTTAGTCCGCAGTTCCGAATGGGCTCTATAGCCAAACATTGAGATATATCTATACTATTATTCTCTACCAGTGTACTTGATCCCAAAAATTCTCGCGTAACACAATGTGCAGAAACGTACACAAAATAGCTAGATAACTATCTGAGAGTATCTAGAGAAGAAATACCTTTCTGTGGTACATTTGTGACCTCTCTGTGACCTCACAGTGACATCACTGCGATTTCTCTGGGACGAAATATTTACCGGAGATTGCTCACGTGGAACCTTACCGGTACTTACCTCTTCACCGTTTCGAAATTAATAAAATGTGTTGAATTTATAGCATAGTATTGAGACAAAAACATTTAATGATAAATGAAAATCAATCATATCAATGGGGTAGGATTTTTTTTTCATTCACAGGTAACGAAATTGGATGTTGAACGCATATCTGACAACTATTTATATTTAAGGCAATTATTTAGATCCTTAATTTGACGATTTGCAAAATGGCAGACAAAACTGCCAACCGAATGATTCATCAATAACAATAAAAGGCGCTCAATAGTGTAGCTCAATCTATGACCCCATTCCCATGGATTTTAGATCGATCTATCCCTGTGGGGAGTCTTACTAGATTACTGTCAACTTAGTCGGTTTAAGCGTCTGTCCCGCCTACTAAAAGCTGAAAGGGGGGTAATTAACTATGGTGCGCGTTCGGCTGACTGCAATTAAGCGTGAACCACTAGGGAGTTAGGTCGATCTAAATCTAAATCTCTGGATCGATTTAATTCTCTGGGAATGCACCCTATGTGTCCCTTGCCACACAATATCTTTTCTGTTGTCTTTTCTATTGTTTTAGGGGTTGTGGAATCCACTTCTATAATGTTAGTACCGCTATCGATGTTTCAAGAGTGTAGTTCCGTTACCATGTGCGCTGGCAGTTTACTTTCAAGCTAGACTGGAGAACCAGACAACCAGACAATGAACCATCTCAATCACAGCGTTAGGATCGCTGATGGATATGAAATGATGGATATGAAATGTAAAGTAGAATCAGAATTATCCCAACCTCAAACAAGCAATAGGTGAATATCTTTACATTATGACATACACTGTATCTTTATATTGCATGCATGAAGCCAATGTAGGGATCACTTTCCTGAACTAGCTGCCAAGGAAATACCCAATGTCTGCATCTACAAGAATATTTCTCTCTCTTTGAAAGTAACATCCCCAACAGAATATTGTTGGATTATAAGACATTCGGGGAATAAATGAAGCAGTACCATTCAGCGAAGTGCAAACTGGATCATGTTGATTACAATGAATAAAAAATAATGCAATCAACTTTTAAAAAGAAGTGCCTGGCGAAATGTTTTATGTTGTTTAGGAAAATTTGGAACAGATTTATCTAACACGCGATAAATTAAACAAGTACTACACAAAAGAAATTTTTGAAACGATGAGTATCCTCGTTGGTTTTTCATTCAACTTCCTTACTGTCTGCACACACACACACACACACGCACACACACAGCCTACCTAAATAGCATCAAAGGTGTATGGAAGTTATTTCAGTGACTTGTTACTATAAATAAATAAATAACAAAGAATACCAGCTGGTCGCCTTTCTGACAAGACTGCGCATGATCAATAGGCCTATCACTCGCCCTATTTACAGTGGTGACATCTATTTGCGATATACAGTACATTTACAGTTATATTCACCTATGTACATTCGACAGTCAATGTGACAGAATAAATGCCATTAAAATCACATTAAAACGTTAACTTATAGGCAATGTCACCTTGCTCAAGACAGGTGTGACGATGGGCGTGTTGCACGGAGACTGAAATATAATCGTGATGTGGATTGTTTCCGCCACAAAGATCATACAGTGTCTGACAGTTATTATATCCCAAGGGAATGTCACAAAGATATGTGTAGTAGCTCAACCTATTGGCGTATTCCCATAGATTTTAGATCGATCTATCCCCATGGGGAGTCTCACTAGATTACTGTCAGATAATCCGACTTAAATGTCCGTACCGCCTACTACAAGCTGTAAGGGGGTAATTAACTTTCGTGCCCGCTCGGCTCACAGCTATTTAGCGTGAACCCCCAGGGAGTTAGGTCGATCTAGTTGGCTCGATCTAATCTCTGGGAACGGGCTCTAAGTGTCACTCACCACACAATACAGTTAGTCAGACCTGCTGGGTTATCAATGTGTTCCACTCCCAGGTTGTCCATTCTTTTGTTCACTTCACGTTCAAAATACGGCTGTTTCACAATCAGGGTGAACAATTAAATGTGGTTAATGTTACAAGTGTCTGATAAATTAACAATTTATGATTGGAGATTGCTTATAGACTAATATCAAAGACACTGTTCGTAGGAGCAAAATAAAAAAGGAATTATAATGATCGGATTACAATTTACAAAAATATAGCCAATTATGTGTTAAAAAAAGTACCTATTTTTAGCTGTTACGGTTGGTCATTTGCAATTAAGGTCATAAAAATGATGCACTAGCTCTTTATGTCAATGATTTATGGTGAATATGATATTATTATATAATTCCCACAACATCTGTCTTCTCTTCTAGCAGGTTCATCTAAAGATATGTTCTGAGAAAAAAAAATATTTTAACCATTTTGCAGAAACGGGCTTTGATACACATTTCATTTGTTTTTGTTAATGCAATAAAAAAATTTTGATAATGCCAAATATTACTTTGAAATCACCTACGTGATAATAAGATGAAATTACCATGTTATGACTTAAACATATTAAAGGAGTTGTGCATATGTAACCATTATCATTAATGCTATGGTATTTATAATCATGAGCCCCTTGGTGTCTCCTACTTTTTGTAGTGTCCGTACCCCC